TGGGCTTTGCTTCTGTGAAGACTGACAGCCTTGGAGACCCTGTGGTGCAGTTCCACTCTGTCCTCTAGGGGCGCTGTGGGTCAGAATGGACTCCAGGCAGTGGGTGTGGTTTGGGCTTTGCTTCTGTGAAGATTGACAGCCCTGGAGACCCTGTGGTGCAGTTCCACTCTGTCCTCTAGGGGCGCTGTGGGTCGGAATCCACTTGATGGCAGTGTGCTGGGCTTTGGGTTTTAATCTTTACAGAAGCAGGTTGCCAGGTCTTTGCTCCGCGGAGCTGTTAGGTGGGTTTGAACTGCCAATGTTATAGCTAGTTAGCAGCCAATGCTTAACCATTGTGCCAGCAGGGCTCCTTGATAAATAGATGGATAGATTGATACATAGATTCACAGACAGAAATCAGGAGGAAGAGAGATTAGTGCCAGACCCTTGGTACGGGGCATGGTGGGGGGCGTATGTTGCGGGTGAGGCCGTACCTTTGGGGCTGGACACGGCTCCCCAGCCTGAGATGAGGCACTGGGTGCCTGGGGAGGCACAGCTCTCACTGAGGTTGAGAGGTTTCACTGCAGGGCCCAGACGTGCCGACCTGGGCAGGCGGATCAGCATGATGTCATCGTTGTGGTCTTGGGCTTTGAGGTCTTTGTTGAACCCGGGGTGGGGGAAGAAGGCTGTGGCTCGGAATAGCTGCTCTGGGCCCTCCCACTGCCAGAGGTTATGCTCCCCGAGACGAACCCACAGGTACCTGTGGGGATAGGCCTTGGGGGTCAAGCTATGCATTGAGGGGTATCTCCCCTGCCCCAGTCCTCTTCCTCTACCAGGGTGCTGTATGACCCTCCACAAGGCACACACCTACTGTGGGCCCCTATCATCTATCTGTGACCCAGGGTGTGATTTTAAGCAAGACATATACCCTCTCCATTTTCCTGAGTGATTTTAAGTACGACACACACTCTTTCCGAGCGCCTATCATGTTTTTCTGACCCAGGGTACTGTGTGATTTTAAGCAAGACACACACCCTCTCTGTTTTCCTGTCCACTGGAGTGCTGTGTGATCCACCTCAAGCCTCACACCCTCTCTGGGCCCCTGCTCCCACTCTGTCTCTTTGTCTTTGTATCCCTTCCCCCAAAGCTTGAAGACCCTCTTAGCCCCATGGTAAGTGGTCCACCTTCCTCTCTGCCCCACCCAGGACTCTGGTGGTGACCTGGGTCCCCCGGAACTGTGTAGGTAATGGGGCCCCACCCACCATATAGCAACAGCCCCACCTCCTGCCCCCACAGGTCTAGTGGCTTCTGTGGGGAGTGGCTCTGTGTGTGTTTGTGTGTGTAGGGATAATGGGCTACGGAAAATTCCCAAACTGGAGGTCATCTTGGGTTAGCCTGCGACCTTGGGCTTCTGGCCGCCGTAACTCTCACCCCTCAATGCATTTGCCTGCAGTCTAACCTCAGGCCCTCCTGATGGAGTCCCAGCTCACTTGTTCTGCTCTGGTTCTCTGCCCTGGACAATTGGGGGACTCTTTGGGAACCCCGTGGCATTAAAGCTCCAGCTAAAGGCTTAGAATTCAGGATTTGGGGAGTGTGGGGTTTATTTTTATCTCTATCCCTCTCTTCTCTTGGCTCCATGTCTGAGAGGCCAGCCTTTCACATCTCTTCCCCCCAATCCCCCTCTGAATTTCTTCTACCTCCATAGCTCTGCTTCCATCCTGCCTTATCCAAACACTGTTCTCTCAGCCTGATGTGCAGGCCTGGACTAAAACAGGTGCCAGTGGGAAGCAATGCATGATGGGAAATTCCCACACAGATGTCCCAACATCTATGCTCCTGAGTTAAAATAGGTGCCAGTGAGAAGCAATGCATCATGGGAAATTCCCACACAGATGTCCCAACATCTATGCTCCTGAGCTAAAATAGGTGTCAGTGGGAAGCAATGCATGATGGGAAATTCCCACAGAGATGTCCCAACATCTGTGCTTCCTTTCTGGAGAGAAGAATATTGTAACAAGATGGACAGCCACTCTTGGGCGATGAGGTAGAGAAGATTCCTGCATCACATAGATTCTTGGATTCTAAGAGTTCAGAACGACTAGAGCCAAAGATTCTAGTGTTCTAAGATTCTATGAAGGAGCCTGATGGACAGTGGTTAAAGCACTCGGCTGCTTACTGGAGCATTGGTGGTTTGACTCCATTAGCTGCTCCGTGGGAGAAAGATGGGGCAGTCAGCTTCCATAACGATTAAACCCAAACCCAACCAAACTCACTGCCGTTGAGTCGATTCTGATTCATAGTGACCCCCTTTAGGTTCTGAGGCAGCAAATCTTTATGGAAAGCAGATTGCCCCGTCTTCCTTCTGCGGAGTGGCCGGTGGGTTTGAAGCACCAGCCTTCTGGTTAGCAGTCAGATGCCTTAAGCACTGCGCCACCAGAGCTCCATAAAGATTAACCAAAAAACCAAACTCACTGCTGTCAAATCGATTCTGACTCATTGCAACCCCTCCTTGGGTTTCCAAGGCAGTATCTCTATGGAAGTATTGTCCAATTGTCCAGTCTTCCTTCCGGGGAGTGGCTGGTGGGTTTGAACCTCCAGGCTTCTGGTGAGCAGTCAAATGCCTTAGGCACTGTGCCACCAGGGCTCCCCCATAAAGTCATAGCCCTGGAAATCCTATGGGGCTGCTCTACTTTGTTTTCTAGGGGCGCTGTGAGTCAGAAACAATTTGGTAGCACCAGATTTCAACGTTCTATAAAATCCCATGCTTCTAGGATAATGAGGCTAGAATTTCGTCCTTCTAGAATTCCATACATTATGGATTTACACATATGAAAGTTTGGGATTCAAGTAGTTTAAGACTCTTGAATCCTCTGAATTAACGCTTTTAGGGTTGAGAATCTGGAAGGATAATACTCTAGGACATTAGGTCCGCTAGATTCTCCACGTTTATGGATCTAAGGCGTTTGGGATTCTAAACTTTCAGAATTCTCCTGGTGGAAGATTCTAGGATTTCTTGGGTCTCAGTGCTGAAGAACACCACCAACCAAAGACCCAGGGCTTTTCCTGTATTCAGTGAATCCAGGACGCACCCAGTCCCAAACCCTGGACCCCCACCATCAGTGGAAATACCACTAGTCTCCACATATCACTAGTTCAAGTCGAAGTGTGCCCTAACTGATCCCCAATAGAAAACTCAGTACCCAAAACAAGAAAATGTTTCATTCATAATTATTTAAAAAACAATCACATGTCAATATTTTGAGTTAGGAAAAAAGAACTAGTGGGAACCACAGGGAACAAATGGAAAATTGCCGTCAGTGTCCTGAAAGAAAATGTGTCTGAACTGCTGTTTGGAAAATGGATTTGCTCTGTCACCTTTCACCCAAACCCCAATAAAAAGTTTTACAAAAAGAAAGAAAAGGGAGCATTTTGAGAGTGTGAGGTTAAATCTATTAGTAAAATTAATTCTCTTTCTTTTCACTTTTTAAAATGAATGAGAAAACCCAAGGTTACATATGCAGGCCTGGTTATACTTCCGCTGCTTTCAGATTCTGGGGTTCTAATACCCCCAAACACACACCTCTACTTCTAGAATTCTCTGAGGCCAAAGTTCTAGACTTTTCTTAACCAAACACTTTTGGATTTTCTAACACCAGATCCCTCTGGGTTACAGTCTAGGATTCTAAGAGCCTACATTTCCAGCCTTAGACTCTGAGCTTCAAACATTTCGGGACTAGAATTTCACAAGGCGATGCCACGGCTGAGTGCTTCACTGCAAACCCTGAGGATGGTGGTTCTAAATCCACCAGCGGCTCCATGGGGAGAAAGATGTGAGGATCTGCTTCTGTAAAGGTTTCCAGCCTGGGAAACCCTATGGGGGATCAAATCTAGTCGATGGCACAGGGTTTGCTCTTGGTTTTGAGGTTTGGGAGTCAAGCACCCGGAAGGATGGTGATTCGCTCAAAGGACAGGCCTGGCGCCTTGCGTCGCAAAGGGCGCAGTGCCAAGAACCCTAGGGTAGCAATTCTGTTCTGCACAATGGGGTCGCCAAGAAGCGGGCAGACAAGCCACCACCACCACGTGACTCCCGCCTCCCCCTAACAGTGGCTCCTGACCCCCCACCGCGTCCCCAGCGAGGCCGGCCAGGGTCACCACTCACGGCTTGCGGCAGTGGGCGGCTGTAAGCAGCCAGCGGTCGCTGATGAGGGACGCCCCGCAGAAGAGGTGGGTGAGGAAGAAGAGGCCCGCCTGCCAGGGCTGTGAATTGGGGTCGCACTCCGTTGCCCCGATGGCCCGGGTGTCCGCCCAGCCGTGCCCTGGGATGGAGGAGGGGAGCAGAGAGGTCAGTGAAAGGCAGGCGGGAACGGGGTGCTTAGAGGCAGGGAGGCAGAAACCTAGGAGAGGCGGGGGGCACGATGGACAGGCCAGCGGGGCCTCGGAGGGCCAGCTGGGGTGGATGGCGAGGGCCTGGGGGAAAGGAGGCAGGAGACTCACCTGCCAGGAGAGAGAGCAGAGAATAGACCAGTGCCAGCTTCATGACCTCCGGCCGCCTGGGTCCCACAGCCTGCGCTCCGCGCTGGGCCCTTCTTTGAGGTTTTAGCCATGCCTTCCCCTTCCTTCTCCCCGGGGCCGCCTCCGCGATTAATCAGAGTTGGGTAATGTCACCGAGGGAGGGGGAAGCCCTGGGGCCTGCACCGGCTGCCTCAGAAGGAGAGGTGGGGCAGGGACCCCCTGGGGCATGAGCTGGCAGCCAGCTGGCTGAGGGCTGGCCTGGGTTGAGGGAGGGGTACTGGAGCGCAGAGTCGCGGGGAGTCTCCCTGCAGGGTTCCCAGAGGGGCGAGCCCCCATTCCCCTGGCCTCAGGACACAGAAGCTGGATACGGGATAGTGTGTGGCCTGGAGAGGAGGGACATCCCTAAGGTGGGTCCTGGGGCTGGAATCAAGTTGGCCTGGATTAAGCCGTGAGCTGGGTACCGAGTCACGGGGAAGGCTAAGGGTGGCGGTGGCCCAGAAAGCAGGCCAGGGGTGGGGGTGAGGACCAGGACTCTGAGGGAAGAAGGCAGGCACCTCAGGAGGTGGGGTGGAGAAAGAGAGAGAAAGAGAAAGACACGAGGGAGTTGGAGACCCAGAAGGGACCCAGGGAGAGACAGACAGACAAGAACACGCAAGTGTGAGAGCCGCACACATGTAAACCGAAAAAGCAAGCTCCCACTGCCGTGGAGTCGGATCGACTCACAGCGACCCTTCCTTGGGTTTCCAAGGCGGTATCACTACGGAAGAAGATCGCTCATGTACTCATCCCCAAGAGCCCTCCTGCCCTGGCGATGTGGCCCCTGGGTGGCACAAAGGGTTAAACACCCATTTATGAATCGAAAGGCTGACCGTTCGAACCCACCCAGAGAAGTCTCCGAGGGAAGCCCATGAAAACCAGCAGAGCACAGTCCTCTCCGCTTGAGTCCAGATCAAATCGGAGGCAACTGGGTTGTCCAA